AGTTCAACAACGTAATGATTGACTGAAAGTTCCATTTTTATACTTTTTGTCTGTAGATATCTGACGTACATTTCTGCCATTGGCAGCCACGAGTTCTATTGTCTTTACCTTTACTATTTAAAATGATTGTTTTTCTATTTCAGGAGGACTTTTAGTATCTTGTTTGGTCTTCTACCAGAGTAAATACCAGTCCATTTTGTCAGTTCTGTTCAAAGATCCAGCTAATCAATACCCAGACAAAGAAAACATTTCAGTCGAATTCTACTTGACAGCATTTGCAAGCGCAATGTTTTTTGTGTCTTCTATTTTCAATATTGCAAATGTAATTATATATACGAAAGCTACCCAAGCCTCTGTTCAACCTTCAAGTGGGCCTCATGATATATAAACAAAGGTACAAACGACTGACATATCAGCTCAAACAGGCCTTATAGGCAAATCCAGTTGCTTTTAGAATTTGCTTTTCGAAGTAGAGTACTTTCCTCAAGTTAACATTTTAATAACTTATTAAACTAAGATCTCTTTGCTTTTTTATAATGTTGCTTTACATAAATTTGTGTATTTGCCCAACATGTGCATGATTCAATTCGTTTATTTGAACTACTTAATCAAACTTCTTACTATGTTTTATTGTATGCGTTAATGATTTGGTTGATTTGCTTTTGTCTTTTTTTTTTTTGTCTTTATTTTTTTTGTCTTTTTTTTTTTTATTTTAAACCCTCCTTAGCTTATGTTTGCACTTTGTTTTGAATATACAAACTACAAATAAAGCTTTATGTCTTAGGCTTTGTGATTACAATCTTAATAATAAATATTGAAAATAAGGTTTGGTTTATAAATTACAAAAAATAGTTTAGTCATAAAAACGAACGATTGCTACAGTAAGAGGGACCTAAATACGAATTTTCTACAGAATATTCGGTTTCATCAGTCGATTTATCTATAGTTCTATTAGACATAGACGTTTTATTTGCTAAGATGTGTTCAAACTATTGTTTTAAAATACAATGTATTTAGTTACAGCTGTTTCATACACTAATTTAGTTTTTTATGTTGAGTTTTGTATACTGTTGTTTGACTTTTTGACTTTTTTTTGCCAAGGCGTTGTCAGTTTATTTTCGACATATGAGTTTGAATGTCCAATTGATATTTTTCGCTTATATTTTACAATACTTGTTTGTTTGACAAGTCTGTCGCTGAAAATAAAAGAGATACGCAATAGGTGCAAATAAAAGATTACTTTATTTTGCTATTATGGAAACATTTGTATCCAGTCTAAAAAATAAAAGATTGTTTTACCAATTAAAAAGATATGTACTTGTTGGGGATCTCTCAAGAGCTTTTGATTTCACCATGCAGGAACAGCCTGTATATGAATGTGTTCTCCAATTCAGAAATGTATCGTCATTGTCATCTCGCAAACAGTTTCACCCAAACCGATGTAAATGGTCATCTTGAGGTAATGTATCAGGGTTCGCTTCATGTTGAAGACCTGAATATAATTTTGATATGAAGAACAACGATAAAACCGCGGCTCCTTTGCGTTTGCTATCGTCGAGTGCGTGTAGTAATTTTGTGTCCTGAGAAAAGTCGTCGTATCTTTTCTCCCTTTTCATTTAGCATAACAGGTAACATTGTCAATAATTTCCAAATCAAGTTTTCTTCCTGTTTTGGCTAATTTTGTGTATGCAACTTACGAAAATAGGAAGAAGTTTCCCAAGTGGAAATCAAAAGTTGAAAAAGGAACAGCAATACCATGACCAATAACACAACCGTTCACAAAACACTAAAACAAATGTATGGATTGACTAACACGAATATTACCATAAACATAGTGTGAGCTGTTATAATAATGGGGCTCTAGACGGATAAGCAGGTTCTGTTCTTTTATTGAAATCCGTCGTGTTGCTCATGACTAGTAGATATCCGGTGATACGTTGCATCATGTGATGTCTAGAAGAGGAAAGGAAGAATAAGAATGTTGAATAACTTCATGTCAAGCAGCAACCCTTTATCATGATAGAATATGCATGCAATAAGGTATCTTATAGAAATGTGATATATAAAATTGGAAAGTTTATAATCAGACAAATGAAGTCATTCCCTTGTCGTTGTGTCACTTTCAAATTCAAAATATAAAAAAGTTGTCCTGCAGAAATAGGCCATATTATTTTGCCGAACGTCCTGTGTTTCTGCTTTTTTGACATTGCGTCGTCGTTGTTACATTATTTTCTATTGTTTGTCCGAAAATAATACAGTGCATGGTAACATGTTCAATTTGACTACATAACTGGCAGATGTTTTGGTAAGAGATATTTCCGGTACCGTGGCGAACCAATTATAAATTCTTCTGAAATGTCCTGATCTACCACATTTACAGTAAGGTTAATTGCGGCGAGGTTCGCCTGGATATGTTAATGCAGATAAACTCTTGAAGTCCACTGACAATTGTTTGTTTTTGTGTTTTCATGTAATTCATGCGCTAGGTCAGCTGATTTATTTTAGATCTAAAACTTGGAAATATTTTGTGCAGCGGGTACATTATTGCCACATTTGTCAAAAGTCGGATCTAGATCCTGTGATTTAACTGGAATTTTATAAAAACTTTTATTCTATCACGACAATAACTTTAGATATTTGTTCAGGAGGCGTCCCCATTATCATGTTATCAGTCCGATTCTGATCCGATCTGTATTTTTTGCGTGGAAAAATGGGGGCCATAATCGGCTATCAGTGACCGCCGCATTAGGTTATATGCGCGGACATAAAATGGAAATTGTCAGGCAACCCATCAACAAAGTTAAATGGTTGCTCCCTTAGGCGTAGAAATCAGTTCAGCTTTTTCTAAGAGCTGACAATAAAAATTAAAAGCCATCTACTTCATGAATGTAAAAAGGAACGGCAAACCTTTCTGATGGTTATATATTTCTTTTTCAACGGCACATATTTCAGATGTTAAAACACTTAAAAAAGTACATTATAGTCCCCCATAAAATGAGCACATGAGCGACATAATTCCACACAAGGAAAGACAATCCTTACCAAATGTAATTTAGTGAAGATAGATCACATTACATGTATCTACAATTAATATACTTGTTATTTTTTTAATGTCCACTTGAAGACCCATTGGAAGTCTTGGGCTGTTTTCTGCTCTTTGGTCGGGTTGTTGTCTCTTTGACACATTTCCTATTTCCATTCTCAATTTCATCGTGGTATTATGCAGGCTGGCGCACACTATTTGGATACTGCTTAAAATGTTCCGAGTTTTCAATGTTTCAAATGAAATCCAGTTATTGTACTATATATATTAACTTGAAAACCGGGTACTCCACCGTTTTATGCTGCAGTCTGGTATAAAAATTATAGAAACTACTTTTAAATAATATAATAATTATAGTTCGTTCACAAACGCATGTGCATAAACTCATCATTGATACCAGGATTAAAAGTGTGTACACCAGACGAGCGTTTCGTCTTGAAAAGACTAATCAGTGACGCTCGAATCAAAAAAGTTTAAAAGGCCAAATAGTGCAAATTTATTATGTGGAAACATTAACACTAAGGAACAACTATATAACTAATCTCTAAACCAAACCCGGACCATATTCCGTCATTCTATAATTGCTTGAGGAGACTCAGAAATAACTCTCTATAAATGAGTGCACTTTAAATAACCAAAGTTCTTTAGGATAATAAACAGATATGTAACACTGGTTTTCACCCCATTGTCACTCAGTAAAAATAGTGAAGGACTAGAAACCAACATCATATAAAAAAAGAATGCACCACAACGTGTTTTCATGGTTTAATTTATAAAAAAAAAAACATTTTAAAATTAAAAAAAAAAAACCCAACACAAGGTTTTCAGATGAAAATTTAATTGGTCAAAGCAAACATGTAGAATAATTGAAATCATGACCCCCCCCCCCCCCCCCTTTTTAAACTTTATCTGTGTATAAGGTTCAAGCGTTGATATTTATTCCGCAAATTAGTTTTCCCTGATATTTTTATACGCAAAGTCTTTAAAAAAAAATTAGCAAATTGAATGTACATGTATTTACTAATGAACTTTAGCAGTTTGAAAGTTTAATTTCACAAAATTGCCTGTCAACTTACTGATTTTTTAACGCAAAATTTTGTGATTGTACTGGTTGTACCTGGGGTTAATCAAGTATATTTAATTTTACTTCAACAAAATTCGATGTCTAAAAAAAATGTTTAACAAATCAATTTTGACAGATTATTATATTAAATTGAGTAACATTTTTGTTGCAAAATATTTGTCAAAATTCAATAATCTGAAATATTTCGTTTCTGCTACCTAATTAAACAGACGTCCTATAGAGTTACAGTTTCCTTTGTGTAACGGATTTTGCCCTCAAACGGAAACAATAACTGTTTTGATCTAAAGCATGAGGGTGTCGAGGGGTACATTTAAATACATTGTCCATAAACAGTGTTCATGATTTTACGGCTTTAAAAAACTTATTATCCGCTTTATTCAAACGTCATTCATTTGTAAATGTGTATACTTTTTCTCTTCTCGGTTATTTTTTCCATCTTCTAGAAGCCTTTTACGTTTATTTGTTTTTCGCCTTTACGTATGTCTGTATGTATTTCTGCAGAGCTCTGACTTGTATTTCTTTAATTTACTTAATATTTATGCATGTGTTCATTATTATTTTTCATAATTCATGATAACCATCTGTTTGATTAATCAATTTATTTAGCTATCATTAGGTATGTCATTACACCATGCATCGACTTTCTTTTAAATAATCATCTATTGTAAATAAAAAAAAATTAAATAAAAAGATAAAATCAAAGAATAACCTTTCCATCCTCGATATTTTTCTAATCTGATCAAGATATCATTGTAAAGTGTCAATCTAAGTAACATAATGAAAACTTAAACAAAGGGATTTGTCTTTTTATTTCATTCGACGCTCGTTCATTGTACTCAGATTAAATATATTTAATAAACAAAATACGGGGGTTCGGTGTATTCCATAGTATATTGTATTGTGCTATGGCATTTAGTTCAATGTGTATTAGAATATTTAAGTCATTGTAATAAATTAAATGTATTTGGGCGTATGGATAATCACAATATTTGTAGACGGTTGTAATTAAGACAGAACGTTTCAAGGTAAGATTTAACGAGTTTGTTTTTTTTAAGAATTTATTTTTTAGTTTTGCATCAAATATAAACTTAAGGTAAGGGAGGGTTGAGCGCTCACAAACAGGTTTAACCCCGCCACATTATTTATGTGCCTGTCCCACATCAGGAGCCTGTAGTTCGGTGGTTGTCGTTGGTTCATGTCTGTCATATTTGTTTTTCGTAAATTGTTTTGTTATAAATTAGGCCGTTAGTTTTCTCACTGATTGAATTGTTTCATATTTTTCATGTCGGGGCCTTTTATAGCCGACTATACGGTTTGGGTTTTTCTCATTGTTGAAGGCCGTATGGTTGCATGCCTATAATTGCTTAAATCCCCTTCATTTGAACTTTGGTTGATAGTTGTCTTATTGGTAATCACACAATATCTCCTTATTTTTATATTAATGTTGCTAAACCTCCTAAATTTGCGTTGCCTGAGATGGTTTCTACCGAATGTTTCTTATTATTGATGAAAGTTGGAATATTTTTAGCTTTATTATCATTATTTTGCGCAGATTACTAGATCTTTTTTACAGATTGCTATGTTGGATTTCAAATCAAAGTTAATATTATAAAAGAGACAGTCGTTCTGTATTAGTGTTTGTCAAAATATTTGATTTTGTAAATTACGATTTATTTTAGGTACAATATTTTTGTTCTAGAACGAATAGCATTCTATAAAAATGTCTTTCAATGTACATACTTTTGGCAATATATCATATTGACCCAAAACATCATTTAACTCATTTACCTTATTTAGTTTTAAAATAAGCATCAACATATCTTTCCCTTTCGGAATCAGGATTTACTATTTATTTTCATCTGTTGCTACGCATGTTTTTTGTTTCCGCGGAAAAAAAATATTTTCACTTTAGTAACCAACTGTTTTCTGCATTTTGTTTGGCAGAATATTCATTTTCATCCTTTCTTATACAAGGTTATTTATTTTTTGCTCTTACCAGACCCCCCTTTTCAGAAATCAAATGATCGTCCCCTAATACAATTCATTTAATTAGCATTGTATTTCCCCCTAACGGAGCCCTCGCAATGTTCGCTTCATTAACTGAAACACTGTCTTTCAAAATTATAATACATCACGTAAACATGCGAAGTTTAATATGTTGAAACAAAAATGGAACATTTTTCTACCAAAAAATGAATATGCTTCATAAGGCACCACCAATTTATCTTTTCTGTGAGCATGGGTTTGTTCTCGTTATAATTTTTTTTTTGCTGACTTTATTCAAAAACAAACATTTTGTTTCAATAAAATATACGAACATAATTTTTTTCTTAAACTCATATGTCGTATTTATTATTTTCCGTAAATTTTCATTTATTTCTGTGCTTCGTACCGATCTTTTGAGTTAAGCCAATTGCAACTGATTTATACAGTGTGTTCTTATGTTGCGTTGTTAAACCACTGTCCAAGTTTAGAGAAGGGTTGAGCGCTCAAAAACATGTTTAACCCCGCCACATTCTGTATGTGCCGGTCCCTAGACAGGAGCATGTAGTTCAGTGGTTGTAGTTGATTCTTATCATAATTGTTTTTCATGTACTGTTTTGTTATAAATTAGGCCGTTAGTTTCCTCGACTGAATTATTTAACATTTTTCATGCCTTTAATAGCCGCCAATACGATATGGGGTTTTCTCATTGTTGAAGGCCGTATGATGACCTATAATTGCTTATATCCACTTATTTGAAGTCTTGTAGTAAGTTGTCTCATTGGCAGTCATACCAACTCTTCTAATTTTTATATCAATTAGAGGTCAACCAAACAACATCATCAAACCCAAAAAGAAAGTTAGATGTCATTATACGGTGTGAAATGATAGACAACTGTCCATGTAATAGGTCGAAATTGGCCTGAGTGCAATATATAGACAAGTACGGAAAATACATTCGACATAGACTACTATAAATTCACCTATTCTCAAATTCTTCCTTTACAAATTTGTCTTAATTTTATGGTAAAGCAGTGAGCATTGCAGAAAATGGACAAACTACAAATTATTTCTTTCTCATTTAGTTTCAATGTAAATGGGAAAATTGCATTGACAGAATATAAGGGTCTATTAGAATGTATACAAAAAGACAGATATTTAACCATGTCAAGCAATTGAAGGAGCATGTACATGTATATGTAGTACATACAAATTGTATTTATTCATGATTAAAAAACCTATATGCAGTTGACAAATCGAAAAACAACGAAGCGCATTATTTCTTTTCTCAAAGTCACAGCCAGGCTTTAAGAACGGAGCAAATGCCCACTTACTATTCATTGCTACTCAAAGACAGCCCTAGATCTGGTTTGAGTAGAATTCTTTGCTAGATCTTTATCAATTTGATTTATTGTGTCTGAATGTTTTATTCCTAGTCTGATTGTAATGTGATGTGTATATTTACTACGTTGAATGCATGCACCGTAAGATTTGGTCTCGTCCAAGATGACTAATCAAAAAGATGTTGAACGTGTGAACATATTTAAATTAAAACCTATCGAACCTTGTGCGTTCTCTTTCTTATTTTCTGGTGTTTATAAACCATGATTATCACTTAAAGCATTTCAAATCAGGCTTTGAGGCTATATCTATACAATGTATTCCAAACCACATCAGAAATCATTGAATCTTAGCAGTTTGTTTATTTTATCTGTCAAAACATTATTTTAAGAAGCTTATTAAATAAAATGTATTAAATAAATATTTAACAATTACACGCACATTGCTATTTTATTTGTACATTTACTAATGTATTTTAAATTATTATTTATACGAGATTTCAATCAGGTACTACGAGATTTCAATCAGGTACTTAGGATTCAAACAATTGTAACCATCTCTTTGGTACTCATATACACCTTATTATTAGACTCAAATTGAATATTTAATTTGTTCAATTAAAAATCTATAAATTTTAACTAACCATTGATAACCGGCTTCAAATTACTCGATGCTTTTTGACTATACAAAGTCTTCAGCGGATCAAATTTTTAAATTAAATCTTTAATCTCATTATAATTTACTGTACTATACAAATGAATCGGTTCGTATTACGATAGGTGGACATTTGGAGATTTAACATTTTGGTGCTCTTGGGATTACTTGTCCAGTATCTTTATGTAGAATGTATTTATAGATCAAATATCTGACTGTTGTTTCCTTTCATAGCGTTGCAGTATTGCGCCCTTTCGTCCTACTCGAGATGATTTAAGCTTATGTAATAGTCGTTCCCAAACAGGTACTAACATTTGTATGGTGTGACTATATGGAAAATAAAACATTACGTTATTCTTATTTTACGAGATTCTATTTAATTGCAGGAAATAAAACCAACTGACTACTCTAGATCTCCGACAGTAATTCTTACATCGTATCTATTCCAACTGACTACTCTAGATCTCCGACAGTAATTCTTATATCGTATCTATACCAACTGACTACTCTAGATCTCCGACAGTAATTCTTACATCGTATCTATTCCAACTGACTACTCTAGATCTCCGACAGTAATTCTTACATCGTATCTATTCCAACTGACTACTCTAGATCTCCGACGGTAATTCTTACATCGTATCTATACCAACTGACTACTCTAGATCTCCGACGGTAATTCTTACATCGTATCTATACCAACTGACTACTCTAGATCTCCGACAGTAATTCTTACATCGTATCTATACCAACTGACTACTCTAGATCTCCGACAGTAATTCTTACATCGTATCTATTCCAACTGACTACTCTAGATCTCCGACAGTAATTCTTACATCGTATCTATTCCAACTGACTACTCTAGATCTCCGACAGTAATTCTTACATCGTATCTATACCAACTGACTACTCTAGATCTCCGACAGTAATTCTTACATCGTATCTATTCCAACTGACTACTCTAGATCTCCGACAGTAATTCTTACATCGTATTTATACCAACTGACTACTCTAGATCTCCGACAGTAATTCTTACATCGTATCTATTCCAACTGACAACTCGACTACTCTAGATCTCCGACAGTAATTCTTACATCGTATCTATACCAACTGACTACTCTAGATCTCCGACAGTAATTCTTACATCGTATCTATACCAACTGACTACTCTAGATCTCCGACAGTAATTCTTACATCGTACCTATACCAACTGACTACTCTTGATCTCCGACAGTAATTCTTACATCGTATCTATACCAACTGACTACTCTAGATCTCCGACAGTTATTTTTACATCGTATCTATTCCAACTGACTACTCTAGATCTCCGACAGTAATTCTTACATCTTACAATGATTTTTGATAGCTCTATGACTTTTGATTTTTAAAAGATCTATGATTTTTAATAGCTCTATGATTTTTAATAGCTCTATGATTTTTAATAGCTCTATAATTTTTGATAGCTCAATGATTTTTGATAGCTCTATGATAGTTGATTTTTAATAGCTCTATGAATTTTAATAGCTCTATGATTTTTAATAGCTCTATGGTTTTTAATAGCTCTATGATTTTTAATAGCTCTATGGTTTTTAATAGCTCTATGGTTTTTAATAGCTCTATGATTTTTAATAGCTCTATGATTTTTTGATAGCTGTATGATTTTTGATAGCTGTATGCTTTTTGATAGCTCTATGATTTTTAATAGCTATGATTTTTAATAGCTCTATGATATTTAATAGCTCTATGATTTTTAATAACTCTTTGATTTTTGATAGCTCTATGATTTTTGATAGCTCTATGATATTTTATAGCTCTATGATTTTTAATACTCTATGATTTCTAATAGCTCTATGATTTTTAATAGCTCTATGATTTTTGATAGCTCTATGATTTTTAATAGTTCTATGATTTTTGATAGCTCTATGATATTTAATAGCTCTATGATTTTAAATAGCTCTATGATTTTTGATAGCTCTATGATTTTTAATAGCTATGATTTTTGATAGCTCTATGATATTTAATAGCTCTATGATTTTTAATAGCTCTATGATTTTTGATAGCTCTATGATTTTTTGATAGCTCTATGATATTTAATAGCTCTATGATTTTTAATAGTCTATGATTTTTGATAGCTCTATGATATTTAATAGCTCTATGATTTTTAATAGCTCTATGAATTTTAATAGCTCTATGATTTTTGATAGCTCTATGATATTTAATAGCTCTATGATTTTTAATACTCTATGATTTTTAATACTCTATGATTTTTTATTAGCTCTATGATTTTTAATAGCTCTATGATTTTTAATAGCTCTATGATATTTAATAGCTCTTTGATTTTTGATAGCTCTATGAGTTTTGATAGCTCTATGATATTTAATAGCTCTATGATTTTTAATACTCTATGATTTCTAATAGCTCTATGATTTTTTAATAGCTCTATGATTTTTAATAGCTCTATGATTTTTGATAGCTCTATGATTTTTGATAGTTCTATGATTTTTGATAGCTCTATGATATTTAATAGCTCTATGATTTTTAATAGCTCTATGATTTTTGATAGCTCTATGATTTTTAATAGCTATGATTTTTGATAGCTCTATGATATTTGATAGCTCTATGATTTTTAATAGTCTATGATTTTTGATAGCTCTATGATTTTTGATAGCTCTATGATTTTTAATAGCTCTATGATTTTTTATTAGCCCTATGATTTTTAATAGCTCTAAGATTTTTAATACTCTATGATTTCTAATAGCTCTATGATTTTTGATATCTCTATGATATTTAATAGCTCTATGATTTTTAATACTCTATGATTTCTAATAGCTCTATGATTCTTTAATAGCTCTATGATTTTTAATAGTCTATGATTTTTGATAGCTCTATGATTTTTAATAGTCTATGATTTTTGATAGCTCTATGATATTTGATAGCTCTGTGATATTTCATTGCTCTATGATTTCTAATAGCTCTATGATTTTTTATTAGCTCTATGATTTTTAAATAGCTCTATGATTTTTAATAGCTCTATGACTTTTTATTAGCTCTCTCGGTGTCTTCTCTCTCAGTTTAATGTAGAAGATCTATATTAAATAAATGGCATGGCATACAAACCAGTACCATTGATTCATTTTTCAATTATTAAAATGAGCTTTCTATTTTCTATTTGTTTATATATTTTTCTTCGGACGATGATGCATTATTCTGTGAGCAAGTAAAGACGATAAAAACAAAATGTCGAAATAGAAATAAAACCCCCTACTGAAAAGCAGCATGATTTAAAAATAAGTAGCTGTTGACAGAAACTGGTTTGATTCCGTTTCTGTAGAAATTCTTTCGAACGTTTAGTTCTCTGGTTCCGAACAGAAGTGTCAACATTTGTGTTCAAATATAATTATTTCAAGAGGATTAGTTTGAGTGCATTAAAATTTGAAAAACATACAAGAAATCATTAGCTTTTAAAGGCATATTCGAAGTGACACACATAAATTAAATCTATTCGAATCTAGATTGGGCTATACACCTGACATGGTTAATCTTTTATAAGAAAACGATTAAGAGGTTTAATTTTAAACTTTAATTAAAAAAATGCATACATAAAATAATTACAAAAGTTTCAAACATGAAGTCACATGTAAATGCTTCTATTTTGTATGCAGCGACTATTCGTTTCCCCTTAAATGCAAATACACATATTATTTATACAACTTAATGAATTCTCCTTTTACATATTTTTTTTTGAATATGATAAAATTATTTAAATCAAACTAGCTATAAAACCAGGTTTAATTCACCATTTCTACATAAGGAAAATTTAATGCTTGTACCAAGTCAGGAATATGACATTCGTTTGATGTGTTTGAGCTTTTGATTTTGCCATTTCATAAGGGACTTTCCGATTTGAATTTTCCTTGGAGTTCGGTATTTTTGTTATTTTAATTACTTTTTACTATATCAGAACTGTCTTTTGTCCCAACTTGATTAGAAATATTGTCACCTTGGTCTTCTTTTGATCAAAAACAACACACTTGCAAAGAGGGGCATCCATTTGGTTGTTCGGGATGTAAATTGTAAAAAACTATCAGCCACGTCCGGTCAGGATTATCTAAAATCCTAGCCTCGTGTTGGGAAAGTCACGTTTTACGAACGGCAAAAAACATTCCAACAACTCTTTGAGGGGCCCGTGGGTGGCCTGTTGGAAGGCAAAATGTTTGCTTCTATCCAACATACAATTGTTTTAAAGTGGCAGTCAAAATTTCCCGCCCTTCATCTCTGTCGTACCACCTAGCAGACCCTACCTATTGTATTAATTCTTTATAGTTCTCCTCCTGAATATGCATGAAATAAATGCCATTTGACTTTAACCAATCAACAATCAATCAACCTTTCGACTCCACAAATCTGTGTCAAAACTTTGTATATTGGCTATGCTCATTTTTTGGATATAAACCTTAATTTTAACATATATTTTCTGTTCATATAAGTTTTCAAATCTTTTATTATAATCTAACCATACGATGACTGTGTGTAGTTTAAAGAAGATCTAGCTGTTACACTTTGTATGCAAATAGCATTGAAAGTTCGTTTCAATAAGATCAAAACAAATGTATTGTTCTTTTTATCATATTTTCAAACGCTGTTAACCTTTACATTAGCTGTGCTTTCCGGTAATTTTCATCAGTACATTGTTTTATACATTCACAAATAAGTAAGATTTACTTTGCTTAATTAATTTCTATTTTAATAGATGCAGACATTGGCTCTAATTAGAAGTAACCAATACAATAACATTCACCAGATATGGACTGCTTAAAGGTAAGACACTAATATTTGTGAACTCATATACGAGGGTCTGGATGGAGGTCTTAATTTCTGAAAATGTTTAGGCCAGTTCATTTATTCTTTTGTTTTTTCATAATATTCTCTGTACAACATATTCTAGCACCCAAATTTAATCTACGCTTAAAAAAATCTTGTACATTTTTCTGTATTCTTCTTATTTTTCCCCATTATGCTCTAGTCTGTTAACCCAATCCAGACCGTGTTATATACTATAGCTATATACTATAACTTAATTCTATGATGTTCTAGAGTCATGTTTGAAGTATCAACATTTTGCTCTTTTTTTCCGTATCCAAATGTGTTTATACCAGGTCAACTATTTGTTTTTTTATTGTTAATTATATAAATATACTTTCCGTACAATATGTCGCTCTTCAAATGCATGAATTTCTCACTACTGTACACACGTAAGGGTTGTGATTTCAAAATATATTTGGTAAAGTTTATACCAGTAAACAATGATCAAGTGTTTGAACTATTCATTATTATTTATCATACAACATATCTACTTTTACACAAAGAAAACCGTCTTGCCAGTGTGGTCAAAAATAATGATGCAACTACCTACTTTTGTTTCAATACAAAGGATTTTTTATTCTCAAATACTTGATAATTATGTTTTAAAACTATGGACGAGATTTAAGATGAACGAATGTACAGCATCACGCTACAATTTTTGTTCAAATATAATCCGTTAGTCATGCAGACGAAGTCTTTTAAATAGTTTTGTAACATTATATAAGGCTTTATTTATTCAAAAGAAGGCTCATGTATATTATAATTATTCTTTTAAATTGAATAAAGAATAGCTGTATTATGAGTATATCATTAATATTTTTTAAGTTTGTAATCTACTTGCGGATCAGATTAGAAATTCATATTCATGACACCTTTATTTCAGATGGAACTTAAAATGCAGACGATATGTTTCAAAATATGTAAATAATGATGTTGTGGAGTATAATATAAATTATGTTAATCATCAAGACTTTGAAAGAGAGGCTAGAAAACCCTAAAAATCAATTATCGTTTTTGGGCAACGTAACCCGACTAATTAAGTCGTTATATTCCGACTCACTATCAATCGCAACTATAGGCCGCTTTGAGGGCGCAGAATTATTCGAGTTAGTGAACAACGTCTATTTGTCATCATAATTTCTTAAAACCGTAATTTTCTAAAGTGGATGAAGATACAATGTCACAGAATACAACATCGAGCTATGCTTTGGAGACACTCAACGATGACATGGCGCATCGACTACTTCCGGTAATAATAATTGTTGGATTATACATGATTATTGGTTTATTCGGAAATCCTCTGGTTGCAATATATTATGGATTCTATGCAAAGAACACTCCGTCTCATCATTTTATTCTATCTTTATCCTTATTGGATTTAGTCATGTGTTGTGTCGACATGCCATTAGAGATCGTCGATCTCCGCCTTTATTATAATTTTGAAAGTGTGGCAGCATGTAAATGTCTGCGATTCATCAGTTATTTTTGCAGTATTGCGTCAGGTTGTATTTTATTGGCTATTGCTACAGATCGTTACCGAAAGATATGCCAGCCTTTCAAAAAGCAGATTACATTAAAAATGACAAAAATTATGATAGGATGTGCATTTTTGTTTTCATTATTTGTGTCGTGGCCGAGTTTGGTATTTTACACAGTAGTCAGGGTAAACGTCACGAGAGTTCCGGCTTTAGAAGGTTTTGATTGTACATTGTTAAAAGATGATGAGTACACCGCGTTAGTGACTGCTTACAACATATTTCAGTTTGTATGTTTCATTTTTGCAATTACTAGTCTAACTGTCCTCTATACATTAATAGGAAGAAAACTATATCAACTGCGAAGTTTTAAATTCTATGCGACAAAGGATACTGCTAGGAGTGAAAAAGGCCAACACAGCTCCTCGTATACAAGTTACAGTGATAATGAAACACCGCGTTCGACGAATCTACACCGTTTATCATCTCACATGATAGAAATTCCGGACGAAATTGACGACAAACCGCTAGCGACGATAAAAGTGTTAAGCAGCGGAAGTAGCTACTACAATAAAAGTAGACCCACTTCGGCATCGTCTGGATATAAATCCGCATCGTTTAGTTCTAGAGGGTCAAAGATTCATCCAGAAAGAATAGAAAACAACGAATCATCTTTGTCTGAAGTAAGAATATCTAGAACAAAATCAGACGTTACACCTGTACCAAAACGAACAAAGTCTGACGTAACCAATGGCGTCATAAAAGGTGTATCAATTAGCAGTATAGAAATTCCGGAACGATTACGGTATAATGGATCAGTAAAATATGCATTTTCAGAGAGATCAATTATGAGTAAATTTGGATCTTCAATATCGAAAGTGTCACATTTAACTGAGTATGACGATGCTTATTTTACACCCGAAAATCAAACTGAGACGCGTGACGCAAATCCAGTTGGTGATATTGATGACAGCGGGAAAAAATTAAAGGCACAAAATATACGCACGACAAAGTATACTGTCATTATGTTGTCAATAACAATAACATTTGTGCTGACTTATCTTCCCTATCTCGGCCTAATAACATGGCGGACACTTGAAGAGGACAGACTTTCGGAAATCATGACAAAATCAGAACTTGTCGCCCTTGAGTTATTTTTGCGATCGTTTTTGATCAGCAGTATAGCGAATCCTTTTATATACGGATTTCTAAATACTGGTTTTCGGAACTTCGTGAAAAATGTACTTAAAAAGTTTTGTTGGTGCTGTCCATGTTTGAAGGAGAAGGTGAACAAATTCTCGGAAACCGACCATTCTTATTCAAATGAAACAACTAATAAAACTACGTAGTATCAAAGGAAAGACAACTGTCTTTAAATATTATTATAATAAAATAATTTAATTTTGGATGTAACACGTCCTCTGATTGGCTGAGAGTGTTTTGTCTATCAGCTCATAGACATAATTTTGTCATGTGACCGCGACGTCATCAACATTTTTATCATGGTTTACTCCTTTTTAGAATTAAATTATAAGGAATGACTTTAATATTTTTTCTGTCTATTCGAAATAACAAAAAATGTGGTGCACACTTTTAAATAACCCGCTACGCGTGTTATTCAGTGTGCACCACATTTTGTATGTTATTTCTTCATAGACAGAAAAAATATTACAGTCATTCCTTAATTATTTAAAAATCTGTTTTGTAATGTCAAGTCAAAATATTGCTGTTAATTATTTCAAATTGAGGAAAATAACTCCCTCATACAAAACTATGATTCCTTGCTCGGCCTTTTGTCCTATTTGGTTTATAAGTTCTGTTTTGAATTCTCATATAGTTCGGCCTCCAGCATCACAGATGAAATATTTACTGTCGAAATGCGCATCTGGTTCTGGAAAATTGGTACCGTTAAGTTTTTAAAACCTTTAAGTGCCATTTAATTTCCATGACTTGCACAACTAAATGAAAATGATATGAAGCTCGTGCACTATAAACAATGTACCTTTATCGGTCGTCCAATTGTCTGTATCACTCTGCTCAGCTCTCAATTAATAAAATTGCATATCACCGTAACGGCTTTGTGACGTAAAATACGTTGACCCGGCTTTAATAACTTTGACCCGGACATATCACCAACGTCATAATGAATGAATTGACGTTGATAAGTTTGAACCGAACTTATCAAGTCATCTCACGGTTTGCTGGTGAAACAAAGATACGGGTTATGTTCTTCTCATATATTTTATGATGGTATGATACTAAACCCCTAACGGTAAGGATTATGCTTGATTTTCATATTATGAAGACATAATCTTTCAATCAGTTAAATTGAGGTCTGAGGTCAAAATACGCAAATACAACCCAATAAATCGGTTATCTGTTTGTCTGCATATCTATATTGTAAAACATCAGCTGCTCGACACAATATAAAGACTTTTTGAACTCGTTCGCTACGCTCACTCGACAAAAAGCTTCATATTGTAACTCGCAGCTTATATTTTACGATATCAATATGCAGACAACCTGATAAGCGTTACTTATAGTACCAATGGATCTCATGCGTCCTTTGAACACAATACATTCACGTCTTCTTATTCAAATATGAAAACTAATATTATACTTGGTATCGATTTATTGTTCTATCACTTAACTTCTGTCTTGAATTCAACATCTCATTCCACTGACAAGGTTACTGATTTGGGACAGACACATTAATTTACTAGTAGAGCGGTATTAATCTTGCATAGATATAACAAGCCCTTCAATAATATTTTACTAAAAAATGATGTTTTAATCGTTTTGTATATTTCAAATAGCATCTTATAAATACATCAAAGATATAAACTTTAATGTGATGATTGCATGTGATACATCTATAATACTATTAGTTGTCTAAAGATTGTGATAATAAGGGCTCCGCATCACGGATGCGGGAGCCATATAGTTTTCACTATATCCGTCCGTCCGTCGAAAATTTTTACAAACGCAAAACTCCAAAGTGTAGGTATGTCTATTTAATTTTGCACAGTTGTTATGCAAGAATTACATACTATTTCGAAAATTTTACTTTAATTTGGAAAAAAAAAACACAAATTTTGAGAAACATAATTTATGTTATAGGTATACGATGCTATTCCCTTTTGTCAAAAGTTATCTTTCAAACGTATTTTTTTTAAATTTCTGTCATACTACATAAACAATTTATTGTCAACTTAATATTTTTACGAAATTTTATATCAGTTAGGACATATCCTGTATTTTTTATTGGTGTCAAAATTTACGAAACCTGAAACACTATCAAATTGATTGCAGAATTATTTGTGTATGTGCCTGATGCACCCATATCCATGATGAGGGGATGCAATTACCCTAATTATTAAAGGCATTTTAAAGGCAAAATTCCATGTATGACAACCGAATAATTGGGATAATGATAATGTTAAAAAGTTTTATATTAAACATATTTTATTGCCCAACATCCCTTCCTTTCACAGCCAAATTTACACACACCAAAATATCAATATTTACGGTATTACACATGTTGATTCACTTAAACTTTGGACACAATCAGGATACTCAGTCTGTAATTTACATATGAGAGATTTATTTTTTTTCAAAATAAACACTTCTTTCTCTGGTTTTAAATTTCCATGTACAAGTTTAAGCCTTTTTGTTTATTCCCGTTATCCATTATCCAAAATCAGGATTTCTTCCTCTTATTCTGCCAAAGTCATCTGTTGTTGCTTCCCTTTTTTGTGTTTACTAGTAACATGAAAAATAAACTAAACGAAATTTGGTCATTATGTTATATATATATATTCTCATTGTTGAAGGCCGTACGGTGACCTATAGTTGTTAATTTCTGTGTCATTTTGGTCTCTTGTGAAGAGTTGTCTCATTGGCAATCATACCACATCTTCTTTTTTTATATATACAATATTTACAGCTGAAAGGATTTATTAGACTGTGTTGTACTTTTTTGTTACTGATTAGCATATCCTCTTTTGATATATTTCTTGTAGGGTGAAAAAACATATAACTGTTAACATGAGCAATACGACGGGTGCCAAATGTGGAGCAGGATCTGCTTACCTTTCCAGAGCACCTGAGATCACCCCCAGTTTTTGGTGGGGTTGGTATTGCTCAGTCTTTAGTTTTCTATGTTGTGTTTTGTGTAGAATTGTTTGTCTGTTGTTGCAACATTCCTAGTATGAACAACACGACGGTTGCCACATGTGAAGCAGGATCTGCTTACTCTTTCGGTCGCCTCTCTTTAGAAATGTAGCAACCTTGTGTATTCTTGCAAAAGGTGGTTTAAGTTTGATTATATATGACGTTATAATTTATGTCTTGTATTTTTCTTGAAATCTTTTCATTAGCACCATTATACTTTTTAAAAGTTTTCACATCGATAAATCCATTTCATGACGCCATGAATAAGAATTTTTATAGGCCAAAATAGATTGCTTTCCTTTTCCAAAGTTTGATGTGAAAATTATTTTTTTTATTCATACCACTGCAAATAATAAGCAATACAGGCTATTTTGACGTGTGAACTGTTTCACTAACAAACTTCTTATAAAGTCCTTCAAATTTCTATCAGTTTGTAAGTGATTCGGCCGAGTTTACACATCAATCAATTCCATCAAAATAACCTTCACTACTACAATAATGGCATCCATGTAATAGTTATATAACTAATAGTGGAAAGGTGGTATACACTGTGTCTGTAGAAAATAGTTTGTTGTATTATATAAAATTATGCAATTATCTAATATATGTGCAAATAACAATTGTGCATTATGGTTGAAAAAAGGATTGAGTCCCCTGTACTTTGATTTTTTTTTTTTTTTTTGTAATGTATATTTTTATTTTCATATCCTATCAATCTGTGAATAAACTGAACCAATTCACTCAAAAACAAATAACAGTCCGAAGGACTTTCATCATATGATTGAGAGTGACTTGGTCCAGTTTATACACCAATAAATTCTTTTAAAAATGCCTTTAATCCTTATAATTCTTTAAAATTGGAGATAAGGAATTTTTTTTCACTCGTAACCACTATCACACGTAAATTGTATATTTGTGTCAATGAATTGGCCTGGCGCGTGAATATATTTTTTGGTTAACGCAAAAAAAAAATGTACTCCATGAAATTTGTTATCTGATAAAATATAAACTACAAAACTATCTTATTATTATTCAAATGAATGTTTTGTGTTTATTGTTTTTGCATTGAAAGGGACATTTTAGAGAGTAAATTCATTTTGATTTGTCCGGGGTTTTTTTCGAGAGCAGTCCGTGTTTTTTCGAGTGTGTCCTTGTTTTATCGAGTGAACAAACATATATCCTATGGCTTAAAATATAATATGTCAGTGCATTTATATATTTACGTCTAAAAACAATGAAAAGGTTCAAATAAATATAGATTCTACCACTACATCGAGTGTGATACGATATTTATCCACTCGAGACAGTTAAATTTTCAAATTTAAAACGGGAGGCTCGCCGAGCGTTTTAAATATTTAAAATTTAACTGTCGAGAGTGGATAAATATCGTATTACACGAGATTTGGTTGTGAAATCTGTTTCTCTAATGATTTTCAAACAATACGCAGGCAAATTTATTCCTTCTTTTCGAATGATCTGCAAAAAGATGTGTTCTTTCTATGTGACGTCATCAGGCATGGTCGCCTTTTTTCATGCCGTCACTATAGGAAATTCAGAGGAAAGCAAGAAAATTCGACGTCATAATCGGATTTTAACCAATGAAGAACTGAGATCAAACGAACCACACGTTGATTAAATTTTTGTTATACAATGGGTGCAGAAAGGGATAAATTGACGAAGAATTAGAGAAAGCACTTTTCAAAGCACGAAACAATGCATTAAACCAGTTTTATAATGCTGTATTAACACGTACATTTCATTAAAAGTCATCGTTCATTTGAATTCAGAAATCTTCATGTTAGTGTACCGGCATGGATTTCATACAGTAAATATTGCTTGATGTAAACAATCTTTATGTGAGATCAGACATCTGACTGAGGTGTACGTACACATAATGTGTAAAGCGGATAAATGTGTTTTTTTTACAGAAAATATCTCCTTAATGTTTCATTTAGTATTTGTCTTGATGGTAATATTAGCTATGGTCACTTAAGTCCTCTTTCGACCGACCCTTGCCAATTGCAAAGTGGGACGTCCGTTTGTCTGTGTTGGATATCCAAGTACGCAGCCACGTCCGGTCAGAATGGGGAGTGTAGAGAGTGCTACCCTCATTGCACATTAAGAACCCTTGAAACAGCTCTTTGAAGGGCCCGTAGGTGGCCTGTTGCAAGGCAAAATTTCTGTCCATATCCAATGTACTCTCATTTTCAGTGGTAGCATACATTTCCGATCTTTATCACGTACGTCCTCTGTTACA